TCATACCATGTGAGTGCTGCTTGTGGCTGCAGGAGCAACCACCCATGGCCCACAGCGACACCGATAGCTCGACACACTGCAGCAGAGCAGTTGCTGCTCATGTCTGTCACTCAGGTCTCAAGACTGAAGCTGAGATATATGGCACAGAAGAAATTTTTGTCCCATGGGAACTCTTTAGGAGGATCCTTCAAAGTGACACACATTTAGCACATTAATATTTGGTTGAAAGTGCAAAATCAGACTCTTGCAACATGTTAAGCTCTCAGAGTCACATACATGTTCTGTACAGTCTCATGAACACGTGATTTGACTCAACCAGTTTGGATGCTATTCATTTCTTGTCTTTCACTTTTTTCAGGAATGCTCCAGTGGTGTTGTCAATGAAGAAACCTTCAAAGAGATTTACTCTCAGTTCTTTCCACAGGGAGGTGAGTACTTGGCAGATGTAATTAGTACTACAGTGTACAGAGAGTTATGTTCGTTAATTCCTAAGTCTGACAAAAGAGCCTGTTGTTCAAATTAACAAGACTGTTGTCTCAAGCTCTGTCTGAACTCATGAGATACTTCCTTGATGGCTGGATACATTTTAAAGTATATATTTCTGAATGAAATGAAATGATATCTGTAAGAAGTCAGTCTTCCATTATGAAGTTACTACCTGTGTTTGGGTACCTTTGAAAACCAGGTGTCTCTGAGTAGGTTATTTCTGGTTTAACTTTCTACACAGTCTTCCCTATTCTTTTATCCCACAAAACCTTTCACAGTAGGAATGAAAACTGTAGGAGGCACTACAGATACCCTCCAATATTGATGGCAGACTCCCCTTGACTTCTATGGGGTTTCTCTACTTAAATGAGGGCTTTTTTTGCTAACCTTAATTTCAACTAATTGATTTCCAGGGGTTTCATTAATTTCTTTATCTTCATTATCTTTTAGTGCAATGAAGGTAACACAAAAATGTATAACAGTTTTTTGCCTTGAACCTTGGATTTTCTTTTAATTTGAGTTGTTTTCCTCTCTTTTCTTCCTCTTGCTTTTACCATGCAATCCTCCCTCTTCATATTCTCCTATAGCTCTTCAATCCTGCCTCTTCGTCTGCTCTTGAGATTTGCATGTTTCCCTGGGACTGTTCATAGCTCTTTCTTTTCACTTGTATTTAAAAAAAAACACACTTAATTGGTAGGAACAAAACGTCTCCCAATTAGTTTTATTTTGAATAAAGACCTAGAAGATGAAGAGCAGCATTTATCGTGGATTACCATCACTGAAATCCTTAACAAGTAGGCACACTCAATAGGGAAGAACAAAAGGCTAAAAGAGTTGACCTGCCTACTGATTATTTCTGTATCTAAGCTTTTAAACCAGGCTAACAATTACAGTTTCAGGTATTACATTTTTTAGTTACCCTGGCTAGTGAAAATAATGCTCTGCATGTGATTTACTACACCTTTACTACACTTAAAATAACAGTAAAAAATTTATGATATTTCCTATTGTTACACTCAAAACTGTTTATGGGCAAAGTGAAAGCACACCTTTTATACAAGTAAAGCTAAAATGTATTGTTAGAATAAATGTAATCTTAAAAGCCTAATCTGTATTAGTCCAGACCTAATTGTTACAGAAAGGAAAGAATATTAATGTAGTTCAAATTGATATATACTCAATTCTTAGTTTCTACGCCTTTTCCTGGTATTAATTCTCACCCTTCTGCTGCTCCTCTGGGCCTTTAGGGCAGTGGCATCATCTGGGGAAAGAGGTGGGGACTGCAATGGACTGTGGCCATCTGGATTCCTTCCTCGGGAGGACTAGGATGTTCATGTTGGTGCTTTCTTCTTCCTCACTTTATGATTCTCCTGGGGTCACTTCTACATGTTTGCTAACACATTTTTACACCTTTCTTTTTCTCCATTGGTTTGCAGTTCCACGTTACATCCAAATTTATTATAGGTGGTACCTTTTACATGTGTTAGATACTATTTCTTTGTTCTCTTCGCTACCCCTAAACCCATTTTTGTCCAGCTCCACACTGGCATTTCTTAAACTGACCACGGGTGAGTTGTTTATAGCTGTGGGGTCTCCAGTGCCAGCCTGTGCCCTGTCCCCTCTCATCCCACACCTGCTCTCCTCTGTGCTGCATCCCGTCTCTCTGCTGCTCAAGGCCTCTGCTAGTGTTCAAGGCAAAAAGTTGTTCTCTCCACTGCATCATTATGTTAGAGTCATAAATATCTATTTCTACATAGAATAACTGCTTGTTTCTGCTACTTGTATAAAGCTATAGCTGCACCACAAAAGTAAAACCAATCAGCCTTAGAAAACTGATCAATTTGAGAGACTGCTGTCACAGCTAAACCACAGGAAACAAAGCTGCAAGTTGACGAGCCTCTGTCCTGGGGCAAGCTCCCTATAAAACTTGTGGCTTCCTAGTAGCAATGGCAATACTGCATTACAGGGTCACATAGTTACACTAGTCACTGCAATTTCAACAATGTCATTACTCTATCTGCAAAAAGGGAGCTACACTTTCCTGAAAAAAAAATATGCTTTCAAAAAAAATATGCTTTCAAAAAAATATTTCAGGAAAAATATTCAGCGAAAACAGCAGAAGGGCTGAATCTCCCTGGAAGAGTAACAGCTCACATCAGTAATCCTTTAATTTCTGTGGGCCCACTGAGACTTGAACTGTTTTGTGTAGGTTTTGTGCTGTTTTGTAGGTGCCTGTGTTGACTTTTGCCATTTTCTAAGAGGTATGGGAGCCAAAGTCTATCTTTGTTCCTCACATTAGCATGCTAACCACAGGGTGAAATCATCATGTCTAGTTAAGCAGCTAGACTGGATACTTAAATCTTTGAATGTAATGCCAAAAAATTGTGTGCAGCTGAGGCCTTTAAATTTCAGTTGTGTTTAAAATATTGTTTTTATGTATGTCTGAATATTAATGAGGGAAAAAAAATGTTTGAAATTTGTCCCCAAATTAAAATATGTCATATGTGTAGATCTGTGCCCCAATTGTCTATGTATTGCAAAACCAGATACAGCATGATGTGTCATTATAACAATTCATATCTGAGCAAACAGAATGATGTTGTGTAAGATTTTAAGTTTCAGGGTGACCAAGCAATCACCAAAAAGTCGTTTTCCAATGTCATCCAGCAAGGCCACAAAAATGACCAGAGGGATGGAACACCTCTGCTATGAGGAAAGGCTGAAAGAGCTGGGGCTGTTCAGCCTGGAGAAGAGAAGGCTGCGGGGAGACCTTATTGCAGCCTTTCAATACTTAAAGGGGGCTTATAAGAAAGATGGGGACAGACTAGACTTTTTAGCAGGGCCAATAGCGATAGGACAAGGGGTAATGGTTTTAAACTAAAAGAGGGTAGATTCAGACTAGATATAAGGAAGAAATTTTTTACAATGAGGGTGGTGAAACACTGGAACAGGTTGCCCAGAGAGGTGGTAGATGCCCCATCCTTGGAAACATTCAAGGCCAGGCTGGCTGGGGCTCTGAGACACCTGATCTAATTGAAGATGTCCTTGCCAGTTGCAGGGGGGATGGACTAGATGACCTTTAAAGGTCCCTTCCATCCCAAAGCATTCTATGATTCTATAAGTCACTTCACCAAGCGACTTTCAGGACTATCCAGGATAAGGGACAAGAGGAATAAGTAGAAAGAGGATAAGGGAGACACAATAAGAGTAACAAGGGAGATGACAGAGAACTGCAGTAAAATCAATGTATTTCAAAAGGTACAAGTAGCTTTGTAAAAAGCTTTTCATGCCAGAAAGGCACTCCGGTAACTTCCTTTTAGAAATACAGGTGAATGAATAGGCCTCCTGCGTTTATGTAATGGATCACCTGAAATATAACTTGGGATTTGTTCTTCAGCCAGGCAGGTCATGGATAAGAAACCAGACACTGAATAATTATTACACTCCTCCTCAGTTATGAACAGAACAGATTATGTTCATGGTTTGATAAGGTGTAGTCTCAGATGTATAATGACTACCATTTTTTGTCTCTGATGTTTAAAATGCTTTAATGGTGTATGTCAAAGGAATTCTGATTTAATATCTGTTCCTGTCTCAACCTGTCAAAATATCAATTTAGCCTACTAGTTATGATATCAAATCCCTGAAAAGAAAACATTTTATTTAAAAAGTTAAGCTTTTGTCTAACATGATTAATGTTCAAAATTTAGGGAGGTGGGGGCAGGGGGGAAATCACATTAACTAGCTCTAATGAAAAGACTAGTGTACCCCATCCTGCAGTGTTTTTGAAGGCAAAATTTCAGACCAGAATTGCCTGAACAAACCACCTTGAAAAAGACTTCTGATTTTTTTTTTTTTCAGAAGGGCTTAGTAGAAAGAAAAGATTCTTCAACTACTGATTTTTTTTTTTTATATATCATCATACAAAAAGAGTAGTATATTGTATCATGTATGGGCAAGAAACAATAAAAAACCTTTGTGTTAACCTTTGTGTTTTCTGTAAATCTACGGAAAATAATTAGGAATATTTCACATGTTTTTAAGAAATGAATGCCAAGAGAATGGGAAGCTATTTAAAATTCAGTTTACAGTAATTATACCTCTATAATACGTTTTTTCCCTGAAGATGGTTTGCATAGTATATTGTGTCACACAACAGAAGTCTCAGTAGATTATAGAAAATGTGACTATTAAAATCCTAAATATAAACTGAAGTCAACAAATTTACATTTTTCAGTTAAAGTGGGAATTTGGCTGCTAGGCCATGCTTAAGCAATTACACTGATGACTGGATACATAGATGAATGAATGAATGTCTCAGTAGTTTGGGGTTTTTTTTAATTCTCTGAAAATGCATTAACAGACATAAGGTTTAAAGGTTGCAGAGTTTTTTCATGTTACAATTATTTCACATCATATGAAATTAACATCTTGAATTAAGACCAGAGACTTTACTTACTATTACCAGGTCTGAATCTGTGAAGTACAAAGTTTGAGTTTTGGTATATTTGGTTCCTTGGGGTCAAGGTGGCATTTCAGGTGAGTGACCCAAGAGTATCACTCAGTTTAAGTCAAAACAATATTTTGGGCTGTGACAAATAAAGGTTTTCAAGATGAATATGAAAGATAAAATGGATTAGTGCCAAGAAATCAGAAAAAGACATCTCAGCACCGATGACGCTTTTCTATGATAGCGGGAGGTTTGCCCTGCAAGGGGAACACAGATTTCATATCACTTCTCACTTTACTAAAAGTTTGTGAGGTTAATGTTAATTAACCTAAAATTAATGTAAATATATGAAATAGAAAGAGCAAAGCAATGAGTATTAAAAGTAAATAATACCTCAGCCTACATTAATTTGCATGGTTTTGAGGGAGGGAAAAGACACTGAAGAAAGCTGACTTCCCATAACCCCAGCAGCTTGTACCTTACATCAACAGGGCAGTCTGGAGAAGTTGTCTCTTTGCAATATATTACTCCTGGAGCAGGTTGTGCCTCTCATAAAGCATTCAGTGGAAATGAAAAGATGGAGTTTTACAAAAACTTAGAGGCTTGACAGATTTATATTCATGCTGTCTTGTGTTTCTAAAATGAGTCGATATGCACTAGTCAGTAGGTTTGAAAAGCATACAAATATTTAGTGAAGGGATCACTTGTTTAAAATAATCTTTCAGAGTCTTATTGACCACTTCAATTAGTCACAGCCAGTTTTTCCAAGGTTTTCAAGCACTTAGCTCTCATATGATGTTCATGGGAACTAAGCAGCAAACCAGCTTTAAGAATCTGCTTCTCTGGACAAGATTTTATCTCGCCTGTGGGTGAGCATAGGACCAGAGCGCAGCAGCAGCTTTCTGACAAGATCATCTTCAACCTGGGTAACAGGCCTGTCTTCAGAGGAAAAATGATACGCCAGATGCACAGATGGTGGTGTCTGCTTCCCGCATTTAAAGTGAACAAATGAACGCATTTTTCTTCTTTAACATATGAGATAGAACCCTTGTCATGGTCATTTAACTGATAAAGTAGTGTTCCCATTAACACAGGTTGTTTCAGAGTACAATAACATGACGTCTTCGCTATTCATTCAGACATCAGTGATTAGTAGAAATGGGAATGAAAATGAATAAAGATATTCTAGACTAGAATTTTAGATTTTCTGTTCCTAACAGTGTAGCTACCCACATACTTGCATTTATAATTTAACCCTTCTCCCCTGCTAAAAAAGAAGTTTAAACTGAAGTGAAAATTTAGCCTTGCTATCAAATCTTGGTATCAATTTTTTTCATGGAATGAAATTAAATTAAATAAGATGTGCTTACTATGAATTATTTTTCCTGTTTTAAATTGTAGATTCCACAACTTATGCACATTTTCTGTTTAATGCATTTGACACTGATCACAATGGATCTGTAAGTTTTGAGGTAAGTGATGCTATTACTTCTTTCTCTGCAATTGAATATTTTACCATTCCTTGTAATTAAGTTCAGTTTGGTGGCTTTTATTATATGGCTCACATTATGAAAAATTTAGTTTATGTGACTCAAGTTTCAAGTTTTTCCAATGTATTAACAAAAGTCATTGCTATTATTTTACAATTGTATATCCAAAAATGGTAACTCAGACTGTGCTGCTACATAATATCTTTATAAATCTGTTCATTTAAAAGGTAACCCAATTTATACGCACGTTTCATAAAATAATCCTTATCTTCCTCCCTGCCTCTGCAAGGTGAGAAGGACTCTGAGCTACAATGAATGTTATGAGGATGACTCAGCCAAAATAGGATTGCTCACACACTCTATTAGTTTCCAGGAGAAGGGTCTACAAAAAAAAGCTTTAAAACAAAGGTATTTAAAAGCATAAGAGTTTGAAATTCATCCTTCCTCCATTTAACTGCCCAATCTGTTTTCAAAATTCTGCCTTTCCCTGCTAAGGCCAATATCATCAATGCAATAACATGGTAAAAAGGGCAACTCAATGCAATAATTTAGATTAAAACAGGATGTACAAAATACTGCAAAGGAGGTATTATTTAAAGCTATAGAATTAAAAAAAAATCTCAGTTCATTTGCAAAAGGATATGTTTGCTTTGTCATGTTTTGCTTTGTTTATAATGGACGAATGATATCTTTACAACTTGAGATTGGATTGTGATAAATACGTCCGCTTCAAATTTGTTTAAATGTCCTATCCATGTTTTTATTAATTACTTGAGTGAATGATGTTGTGAGGTCTGACAGAATTTTTTTTTGAAAGCATTTTCATTGCTTTCTTATTGATGTAATATGGAAGGAGAAGCCTCGGCAAGCAAGTGCACCATGATAAGAAATCTATACCGCAACTGGGCCTATAACCAGATCATTTTGAGGGAGGTTATTTGCATTTATTTAAAAAACTGTGAACTCCATCTACCTTTTTCCAGGCAGCTGAAACCAATGGGCTCCATGTGAAACTAGAAGCAGGAAAAATTTTTAGCATCAGTATTTGAGAAGTATTTCTGCTGTTACCACTATTTTTAGCATCAGTATTTGAGAAGTATTTCTGCTGTTACCACTAAGAATAATGAGAACAAAATAAGCTTTTGTATCTTTCCTGGACAATTTGTTGACATTTGTATCTCAGACAGAAAGCCTTAAGAAATGCAGTAGATATGAAGCCCTTTTTAAGGGATTTGAATATCTGAAAGTGCAGGTCTGTGTACAAAAAAGGCTTTGGAATAAATAAATCAGGAAAATAAAATAAGCAGTGTTTTTTTCATTGCCAAACCAGACATTTCCAGCTTACTTTCGTTCAATATTGACTTAGAGCAATCCACACTTTGATATTATTTGCACTAATTGTGAATACAGCATAATTCTACTGCTGTCAAAAGACTCTTACTTCTGTGTCCTTGTACCATGTAGCAGCATCATACCTACAAACTGTATGACAGTCATTCTAAAAGCATCCTCCTTATGTTAAAAATGTTTAGGTTTTTCTTCTAATCATGTGAAAGTAGCTGCGAAATGTGAAAATAGATATTGTGAAATGTGAAAAATACAATCACGTAATTTCTTTCCTGTTGTTTTTTATCCTAGATACAACAATGCCATATTCTTTCTATACCAGCCCATACTCTAGCTTTCTAATTTCCACTAGCAAAAAAACAACACAAAAGATGGAGAAAAAGGGGGTGATTTAAAAATTCGGAGAATAAATAATCATTCATCCCAGTTTACTTTCTACATCAAAGTGTAGGAGTAAATACAATTTAATATAAAGATTTATGATGAAAAACACTTTTTGGCTCTCTTCTACATAAAAAGGATATGAAAATATGAAATGGTACTAAAGAATGTAGGTAAGAATTATATTTTTGAGTGTTGCACTCTCCTTTTTCTAATGAAGTAGTGGTAGCTGGAGTTGTGGGGAAGACAAAAGAGAGAATTTGCTCTTTTTTCCTCAAATTTTCAACCATCAACAATGAAGCACAACTTAAACACACACCTTCACTGGATGAGATTGCTGTGTCCTTAGAGTTTTGTCATACCTAGATCTGTATACTGATAAGAGTCAGGCTCTCCAATGGAAGTATTTTACACAGCATGGAAACAAACTCATGGAAACAAACTAGCTGCTTGAACCTATCTCTCCTTATCCCATGATTTATTAATTTCGAGACTAACTTATTTCTTTAGTTATGCCAACTAGTTTTGCTTTAACATGAGGGACAAACAGAGTTTCAGAAAACCTAGTGACCCAGGTATTGAAGGGCTCTTTTGGCATATTAGTGAACAGAAGGTTTTTTTTCCATCAGACAGAGACAGATGTGAAAGCAAGGTTTCCACTTACTGCATGAATATTGTAACTGAACTAAAATGAAGATCTGGGCCTCAAGGCTATTTACAGAATCAGGAAAATTGAGGCTTATTAACTTCAAACATACAGTCAAAGGTAAAGCACATTGCACCCACATGCAAATATCCAAATCAGTGTCCTTAGTTTGTTGTAGGTGAATATTAAGGCTATTCAAAACGTGATCTTGATGAGAGGAAAGTCACTCAGTAATCCCACCAGTTCTCAGTGCCTTAAAGTACAAAGCTGTGCCCAAATGCAACGGAGATATTTAAAGCTTTTTGTCATTTTTAATGAAAAACAAATCTCTACTTGTTTCTCAAAAAAATTATTAATAATTCTTAACAAAGTTGGTGATTTTCTGATTGATTGCTTTATTCCTCAATTGTTACCTGAGAATTTTGCAGTAATTAATTAATTAACAAGCATGTTAACTGAGTTCCATAGGAGAGTCCAGAATTAACCTACCTTGTTATGTCTTGTTTTATGTCTTAAGATCAAACACAACTTTGGTATTTCACTAATAATAACAGGGATAAACAGTCATTGTCTCCAAGGCAGTAATATGAGGGTAGCAGTTTAATGAATGTATCCAAGTGTGATTCTCTGTGTTCAATACAGAAAGCCTTGTTCATGTCATGTAGGAAATGAGCTAATTTTTCTCAGACAGTGGTGATCTCATAAGCATTTTAATACCAGCTGGTGTAAAGCAGCTACAAAGCAATATATTCCCTCTTAACAGCAGTTCCTCCTTGGTGACCTTTGTTTTACGTGCACCAGAGCTCCACCACTTCTGTGATTAACATTCATCACTTGATTCCTTTCCAAAATCCTAAGGTATAAATCCAAAAATGGATTTAGGTGCCTACCTATCTATTTCTTCTGGACTTGAACAAGACATAAAGGAACACATGATCAGGTGGAATAATTTTAAGCTTTCCTATGGATTTGAGACAGCACATATTAAGCTTGTTAATTAATTTATTAATGAGCTAGTTCTCCCCAAAGATTTACTGAGGGATAAAGCAATCTTCTGATTGTCTTCAACAACATTGCTAAGAGATAATTAATCACTGCTGGAAGAAAAACAAATACGAGTTAATCCCAGATCACAACCAGACGCTCTATACAGCTCTAGTGCAGAACTGAAAAGTGGGCAGGCTGTGATACTGAGCAGACAGAATCTCCAATACAGGTGCAGTGATGCTCCATTTTGCTGCCCTTCAGTGAGACATCCCCCTTTCTTGCAGAATCAAAGTTAGGCACAGGAGAGTTTGGCATTTAATAGAGGTCTTCACAGATATT